AACTTGGGTCCGAAAATCTTTTCATGTCTGTTTTTTTCTTTTTCTATAATTAATTGTTTCTACTGCTACTGATATCGTAACTACTCCTATTACTTTGAAACTGATCTTAAAATAATTTCATCTCGTTGAGATAATATAGTACAGGAACGTTCAATGATGTACATGTATCAGGTTCTCCGTGACTATGACTAAACTGACTTTAATAATTAGTAATTTTCAGTTTTTAGCTTCTTACAAATGATCAAGATTCATTGGCTCTGAGAAATTACTTACTAATTACATTTTATAATGCCTACCTCATAGACTCCCTTTGTATATAGTTTCTTCCTGAATTCTAACCCATTAATAAATTACCGGTTCAAAACTTTCTTGAATGAATGCTAAACTGTCAATATATTAAGTGTAATTTATTTATTCTCATTCTGTAGATCATAGTCGATAAAATCTAATGATCTGAAAGAGTTTATTAACCAACATTTTGATATATAATAAAGATGATCTGATTCAACCTGAACATGATCAAATAATAAATACGATCAAGTTAATAATTTTATGTTTTTCATCGAGATCATGAACCGATTGATGTTAGACCACCATTGGAAACCTGGAAGCACTGGACGTCCGTTTCGTCCTATTGTGGGACTCTGCCTTGGCAGGGCGCATCTACGATCCTTCTCATGGGATTCGAACCCAATGCCTTCAGTCTCGTGTGCGAACGCTTAACCTACTGGACGACTGAGTCGGCATCCAGTTGTGTTAATGTCTAACCTCAACCAATCCACGAAATCGCGCGACCATCTTTAATTTTACTGAGGTAGATACCTGTCTCTCTCCGACACGGATTAGCCCTATTGTTTACGGCTTCTCACTAGAACTCCGAGAATTCACTCACGAAGCTATTAATTTAAATGTGATAATCAATGGTCTATCGATAATTAATCACCTGACGGTAACCAATATTTTGTTGTTTAGTTCTTTTATACATCAAAATTAACTGATTATTTGTGAAATTGGTGATCAAATAGTTGTCCTAGAGTTATACAAAAGAAAAACACTTATATTCACTTGGTATTATTTGCTTGTATCTTATGTTTCGCTTCTGATGAATAATACTCTTTGGTAATATTTGTCTGTAATCTTGAAGATTATATCCCTAAATAGCTTACTCAAAACATTTACTACTGAAGCATTGAGTTTACAGAAGTAATCAACACGAAATCTCAGTTCACTACTTCTTCTCGACGTTTAATCGAATAGCATTTCATCAATGGAGAATAGTGTCCTATATCCTGGATGTTACTTCAGAGTTTTATGATCACCATTCTGTATTGGGTTTCTAAACATTAATTTCATTTGACACTTAACTCTATTATTTTTAATGTTTACAGAAATGATTTTCTGTTTTATTTCCAATCAAAAATGAAAATTAATTCTTTTTTATAAAATACGATCGGTTTCTACATCATGTTGTCGTAATGGTTTATCATCTTGTCTTAACCTTTGTTTAACTTAAATCAAAATCTTGATTCGTAATCAGTTGATCTTCCTTGTTGGGTACAGATTTTGACGGTTAAAGAAATTGCTATTATGTTGTCGCTTTTTGATAAATTATAAGAATATGTTGAAGGCAGTATCATTTTCAGGTGAAATTGATTCCTTTTTTAAAGTTGAATTCAAGAATCGGTCGTAGCTGAACGGTCACTGAAAACGTCAAAGTCATAGTGTATGACTCTTCAGTAACGCGCATCCATGATCCCGCGCCGAAGGGAATCGATTTCAGAGCCTTCGGTCTCGCGTACGAGCTCTTGACCTCAAGATCACTGATTCAGCGTACGCGGGATTAATGTTTAAACTAAGTTAATTCATGGTTTTACGTAACCCTTCATTTGTTGTCTGAAGTGGATAACTATCTTTACCCGACATAGATTTGATTCCACTAGTCACGGGTTCTCACTATAACTCCAGGAAACCCATCTTGAAGCTAATCAGTAGTGAGCATATGTGCTTCACTCGTGAATTTGACTTGGAAAATACTATAATCTTCATAAATTTCCATAGTGAACTTAATTCACAAGAGTATGAATACTACAAATAATGGTTTATATCATTTCGTTCTAATGCATCTAACATGGAATTCATGTTACAAGATGTTAAATGATACAATGGTGACAGATTGTACAGAATAGTTTACTATTTACAACTTATTCAAATATTGATCTTCCAGTTAATCTAGATTCAAATGTGATTGAATATTAAAATTTGATGTTTCAATAATTTCTTCATCATAACATATACAATAAGATACTTGATCTCGAACTTATGCGATCCATTTGAATAATTGATTCATTAACACTTTAACATTTGATCATCTTAACAATAAACTTCATTAATTAATACTGAATAAAACTGTTTATAAAAAGTATTTACTAGAATACAGCAAAAGAATTTAATGAATAGTACTCTTGGGAATAATACATAATAAATAATTATTTTCAATAGTTGAGATCATGAGTCAATTGAAGCTAGACCACCATAGAAAATCTGGAAGCAGTGACCAGTGAAGTTCAACCGGGTCAGTTGTGAGGTAGTAACTCACTGATGACAATGGTGGATGTGTCGCTCAATTTCGTGGATTAGTTGAAGTTAGACATTAACACTGTTGGATGCCAGCTTAATGGTCTAGTTGGTTAAGCGCCTGGCGTGAGATTGATAGGTCCTGGGTTCAAACCTCCCGAGGTGGGATCGTGTATGCGCACTGCTGAGGAGTCCTGTAGTAGGACGAAAAGGCCGTCCAGTGCTTACAGGTTTTCCATGGTGGTCTAGCTTCAGTTGACTCATGATCTCAACTCTTGAAATTACTACAATCTCCACAAAACCCTTTCTGATACTAACTATTTAATAGTTTCCATAAGTCTGTAATACAAAATGGTGTCAAAAATTATACATACCTCTGTAAATTACTATGACTAACGAAATATATTTGAATTAATCCTTGTCATAAATTAGGAGTTATTGGAATGAATCCAACAAATTCTTTTGAAACTCATCGTTGATTCATTTCATTTATTCATTAGTTTCATATATGGAACATTTACAAATTTCATGACAATTTAGATCAAAGCGTATTTAGTTTGTATTCTCGATCTTACTTATAATCTAGAATAACCCTATTGTTGAATCGAACATCCAATGATTCGATTTAGATACAGCTTTATAATATAAAAGTGAAATATTAAACTAATTAAAGTCATTAAGACTTAAATTTATAAGGTAAATTTGAAAAACTATCGAACGAGTTGAATACTATTATCAGTATAGGGTTATGGAGATTATTAAGTTTTTCGATTGAGATCATAAGTTGATTGATTTTAGACCATCACTGAAAACCTGGAAGCATTAGATGGCTATTTTATGGATTGGTTAACCTTTTGCGCACGAAACCGATAGGTCCTTGGTTTGAATCTCACGAGGCGGGATCGTGAATGAGCACTGCCAAGGAGGAGTCTCATCGAGTACTTCCACTTTTCCCATGATAGTCTAGCTTCACTTAGCTCATGATCTCAACCAATGTAATCAAAATAATTCATTAATTATATTAGCTGACAGATGTAAGCCCCTAAATGCCCTGGTACGGCAGAGATTGGGGAGAGTCCACTCTCCCTCTCGAAATGCTCTTACATGGCCACGTGTATATAGCCTCTGCCAGGGAAGTCCTACTCACTGTCTTCTCGTGGCGGGGGTGTTGTTTATGAAATTGAGAGGACGAAAAGTGAACGTCTGGCACTTTAACCGGGTTAGTGGACACGGAAAGTCTACCTAGGGGAGTTGGGAAACCCTGATTCCAAACCAATGGTGCAAATAGGCTTCAGTATCCTGAGGGAACAAATGGCATATGAACCAATCTTCAATCACCGGCTACCATGTGAATTCATCTCCTTACGATGTTCCACTGTCTTGTGGATTACATCTCAATGTCAAAGGCTCAGTGAGTGGCCCTCTAAGAGAACCGCCTGCTTCGGTTTGCGCATCAGGGCAATATCACAGTCCGCAAACAAATCAAATGAGATTCGTGTGGTGCATTTATATCCGGTGCCCACTCGTAGCAATATGTATGTTTTCAAATAAATAAATAACCTTAATTAACAACTCGTATCACGTATGCATCACGTATATCTTATATGATAACATAAACAATATAAATATAAACACTTCATATAATAGATCCAGTAGGTCCAGTAGGTTAAGCGTTCGCACACGAGACTGAAGGCATTGGGTTCGAATCTCAAGAGCGGAATCATGGATGCGCACTGTCAAGGAGAAGTCTCACAATAGGACCAAACGGCCGTCTAGTGCTTCTAGGTTTTCAATAGTGGTCTAACATCAATCGGTTCATGATCTCAATCAAAAACTTAATAATCTCCCCAACCCACAAACTGATATAATAGAATAATCACTAAAACAAAAACAACGGAAAGAAAAATGAAAGGCAACAAAAGTATATCATACGTACATGTATGTATATATATTTCTATTTATTTATTTAGGATCATGTTAATAGAAAACACATAAAACATAAAAGAAAACAATACACAACACAATAAACAACAAGAATAGATAATGAAATAGAAAAGAATTTATAACTTGAACAATATAGTTTGATCTTCATATATATATAGAGAAGTGAGTTCAGTTAAATTGATATCCCACAATAATGGTTCATTGGAATGAAATGATGAATTGATTGTAACATACATGAAAGTTTTTATATCAGTTACATCACAGTTAAATTGAAAGGTGATTAAAGATTTCTTTATTAGTAGTATCATTATTTATTTATTCATTCATTAGTTTAATTGATAATTGCTTTCAAGTTCCTTTTTTTTCAAATTAACACAGATACACTTACACACAGAGAGACACAGACACAAACACACTGACACATACACATATAGACACATACAGACAGAAACAAAATATTTATATAATAAAAGAAATGTGAATTATTCAAAATCACGATATCTTCTTGGTACTGAATTATAAAAACACATATGATATTCTGGGAAACATCGACAACGATGATATTTTTTAATTTCTTCACTACCAGATGGTACAAAACTCATAAAATACCATTCATTACAACCTAATTCTTGACATAATTCAAAACATTTTTTAGCTGTTGGTACAACGCACATAAAGTTTCCAGTAGCTAAGATATAAAAAAAACCAAAAAAACAAGGAAGAGGTTACAATTATTATTATTATTATTATTACCATTATTATGGTAACCATTATGAGTTCATAGATAAACTTTTCAAGAATAAATTTAATCTAAGTACTTAGATACAATGAATCGATTAAATCTCGACCATCATGGAAAACCTGGAAACAATAGACGGTTGTTTCGTCCTTGTGTGGAACTCTTCAAATATTTTATTTATAAATAAGGTTTGTTCTAATGATGTAATCCTAAAAATATAAAAGTATTTACGTGTTAATAATAAAACTGAACGTTGAAATGAAAAATATAGTAACTAACTAATAATAACAATCTAATATAATGATGGAGTTTCCATTTCATTTCCTCTCACGACAGTTGAGTGATAGATCATATTTGACTTTATTCATTTCACAATATTAAGAAATGATCTTTCAAAATCATTAATGTGTAAACTGGTTGATTATGATTTGAGATAACCTCCCAAAAATAAGTCACTAATAACAACATCATGTAATTATCATTTCAATAAGGAATTCAAGTCACAGAGTAACACATCAACTCTGAGATGAAAGTAGATCCAGCTGACAAGTTCCAAATAGGACAAAACGTGCATTCTGGATTTCACTGCTAGCCACTATCCATCTTTGCATATATATATTAAACAATTTGTTAGAGACAAATAAATAACACTGATTATCGAGATTTAGATGGTGGTTGGAGGTAGTCAACAGGAAATCTTGGACCTGGCACCCGTCAGCAAGATGTACCTGTAATCTTCAGAGAACTGGTGCTCCCTGGCGGATTCGATCTCTTGTCACTCAGCTTCACAGACAGAGACGTTACCACTGAGCTATCAGAGCTGTGACTAACCTCTTGTAGGACTGAGATGTAATTACAATTGATTGATCACTGGGTGGTGATCAAGGACTAGACACGCATGACATTGATCATCACTCAGTGATCAATCAATTGCGAACACTGATTATATTTGTAAATACAAATAATAAGGAATGGGAAGAAAAATTGAGAAAGAAAAAAGAAACGATCTCATTAGTGCAAACAATTTAATCACAATAACAATAATAATAACACTAAAATAACGTAAAGATGGATAATGGATAATAGTAGAATCCAAGAGTCACGTTTCGTCCTATGTGGGATTCGTCGGTTGGATGAGACTACATCTCTGAGATGGTGTTCATCCTGAGACTCGAACGTATTATCGATCACTTCAAATGCCATCGCATTATCCACCTAACTATTGAGTCCTAATGGTAGCTTGCCTGTGTAATGGGGTAAAGTTTAAATTCACTTCTTACTGTTTTCTTGAATCTTCTGAGTTCAATCCCCAAAGTGAACATCAACTCTGAAATGCAAGTACATTCAATTGACGAGTCTCAATTAGGACGAAACGTGCGTCCTAGATTTCACCACTAACCACTATATTAATATATATATCGTATGTTAAACAATTGAGAAGAGGTTACTTAGAATACTGATTAGGCCGTAACTACTATTCATCGATTATTTGCTTTTCAACTTAGTTACTACTTTAAACTTCGTCTTGGACTATTTAATTTTTATTCATCAATTCAAAGATAACAAACTTCTTTTTACTTTTTCAGCTTTATCAAAATAGTTGTAATTAGAAATTCACTTAGTAATTGTATTACATAAATCTTGCCATGGATAATTAGGACTTCAATTGATTAGTCTTTTATTGGCAATAGTAGTTTACATTTCAAATGTAAACTTGACTATCTCCATAAAGAAACTGTACATAAACTATTGAACTATCAGAATGTATATTTTAATGTGAATATTTCCGTAGTACACTATTACAAATTGTTTACATAAGAAAAAGCTAATTATCATCAATCAACTAGATAAGAAATATTACGTAATGTGAAATTGTTTCCATAGTTACCTTCTTTCTTTTTTTATAAAACAGTTTTAACGTAGATTGTATAATTGAAAATTATCAAGCTAAGTTATCATTAATTACATAGGTAAAATTGAATATCACAGAATATCTTCAAGTTCACTTGGTGTTGTTTTACTCGTATCAAGACAACGAGTCCCAAATAGGACGAAACGCGCGTCAAACTGAATTCCTATTTATGATTCTTCGTCTTTGCATAAAGCTTATAACTTAAGGCTATATCGAGGCAATCCGCACAGGATGCACATATGCTAACATGTCACGGATCAATTGTAGTCCTAAATAACAATGGGAAGATACAAGTAAAACAACATCAAGTGAATTTAAGCTTCACCCCATTGCACAAGCAGGTAGCTATCAGGACCCAGTGGCTAAGTGGATAACGTGATGGAGTTTGAAGCAAACGGTACCGGGATACAGGTACATCCAACTGACCAGTCTGAAACATGACGAAACGCGCGTCGTGGATTCCACTGCTAGCCGCTATCCATCTTTGCTTGAAAATATCTGTAAACGTTTATTACTTAAACAAAAGTTATTCACCATGTGAAATATGAAAGTTAAACAATTGTTTTATATTGAAAGGTTCCTACACATCTAAGAGTAGGGGTGATATTTTTTAACCTTCTTAATTTTTAAATAAACAACTTAAATAAACGCTTTATTAATTATACATTGATTAAAATCACAAATGTCATATGGCCGGCTAACAAATCGTTCCATATCAACGATTTCAACAACGAATTTTTCCGATGTATATATATATATATATATATATATATATATATATATATATATATATATATATATATATATATATATATATATATTAGGAAACATAAGATAATCCACACATTTAAGGAATCTAAACACCATGAAGACATTCATTGACACAGTAAGAAATAGATAAGTATAGTTAATGTGATAATATAGGAAATAACGAAGATCCGTCCCTTCCTATTCATAAACATACTGATCCAACAAGATTTTAATAGAGAGTATTGTTGAAGTATGAATATATGATCTATCACACCAATATCAGCATACGAAGATTAATGTGAAGATTGTTCGGTTCTCACTTTTCGCACCACCGATTGATCTTAATTAAACAATCGTTGAAAACCAAAAATCACAAACTAACTTTATCATCACATCACAAGTTTATTCAACAGTTCACACTCATAATATCATACACTCACTCACAATTCACCATTTCAACTTCACACTACTCACTTCATATACAATCGTCTACATGTCGAACACCTCCAATCACATCTACAACTCAATCACTAGTGAGTGCAATCATATTACTATTATTACAATTAGTGTATTGGTTTGGTGAGCATTGTCAATTTTGTATAAATGTTAAATGATTGGTGGTATGTGGTTAGATAGCGACTGTTGATGAGTGTGATAGTGTGACGAATGAGGTGTTTGATGCTTCCTGTTGAACGATAGTTATCCAGACAAAATCATTTCTGTATGTAATGTATGAAACTTTAAATATTTTCATAAAATTTTTATTCTATATTATTAATTATCACCGTAAAAACTGAAGGATTTTGATTTATATATTCTATTCGGAATTATCAGGAAACAAGTATATTAGTAGCAGAAGGTGTTTTGTGGATATTATATTAATTTAAATAGTAGAGATCATGAGTCAACTGAAGCTAGACCATCATGGCTGTGTGTTTGAATCCAGCGAGCAGGATCGTGGATGTGCACTGTCAAGAAGGAGTCCCACAATAGGACGAAACGGCCGTACGCTGCTTTTAAGTTTTCAATGATGGTCCAACATCAATCAATTCATGATCTCAATAAAAAAAACTTAATAATCCTCACAACCCTACAATTTGTAATTTTAATGGTTGATATCATAAGACAATTGAAGCTAGATCAACATGGAAAACCTAGAAACACTGATTAGCCGTTTCGTTCCAGTATGAGATCCCTCAACAGTACGCATTCACAATCTCACCTCATGAAATTCGAACCCAGAACTTATCAATCTCGCTCGTGAATGCTTAACCTCTACACCACTGAGTTTCAATCTCAACCATCGAAATTACTATAATATCCATAAAACTCATTCGGAAACTAATTTGTATTTTATATAATATATGATGATTATTGTACCGCATACATGGTGTTCCTATTTTTATATTATTAAATACTGTATTCATTATCGACCAAAATACTATCATGATAACAAATAAAAAAAGAATACAACTATAATCATGCATTATATCCTTGTACAAAGTATTCAAAATGGATCTGTATCCAATGATAATTACACCGGATATTAAATAAATAGTAATATAGATTTGTGATTTCATTGTCAACATCATTAATGTACTAATAAAAAGGTTAATCGGATATTGTAAAAGAACACACACACATACACACACATGCACGCACACACGCATACACATAAACATACACAAAATAAAAGGAATTCGTGATTGTACATGTATTTTCTATTTATTTGTTTCTGTTACTCATTTATTCTTATATAATAACATAACATTACAATGATGGGCTATTATAGTCCCGCCTACAAATTGTTGTTTGTATCATAATAATGATCAAATAAACAGATGTTAATCGGCATAAATGTAAACATGATATTCATAGATAATTACATAATAATAGAATTCCATTTTTGATATGATTTCAATTTGTAGTCACGTAATTTAAAGGAATACTTACGTAAATAAACCTCGACTACATATATAAGATTTTATTAGTAATAGTAATACTGAATGAGAATGATAACTATGATACTATACTACTACTACTAATACTACTATTACCATTAATACTAATACTACTGATAATGATAGTGGTATTAGTGTGAATAATGATAATATTATCATAACGTAAAGTAAGTGTTTTTTGAACATTTAACACTTACCACAACTGATAATAGCCAATTATTGTAAATGTTTGATCAAATTACGAATATTATGCATTATTCACCCCATTGCACAAGCAAGTGGCTATCCGAACTCAGTAGCTGAGTGGATCACGCGATGGCGTTTGAAGCAAATGGTACTGGGTTCGAGTCTCAGAGCGAACATCAACTCTAAGATGCAGGTACACCCAGCTGAAGAGTCTCAAATAGGACGAAATGCGTGTCAAACTGGATTCCACTGCTAGCCGCTATCCATCACTGCTTAAAAAAATCTTGTGAATTCAGTCAATATCGAGGCATACGCACACTATACACATATGCCAATAACAGACTGATCAATTGCAGTCCTAAATCTCAATGGGAGGATTCGAGTAAAACAATACCAAGTGAATTTATTATGCATTATCTTTGAAAGTCTATATTTATAAAATCTATAATGATGATATTACAACTGTCAACCATAAAAAAACTTTCATATATATGTATAGATATGGTAACTATGCTGAAATGAATCATTTCTAAACTTGAATAATATATATATATATATATATATATATATATATATATATATATATATATATATATATATATATATATATATATATTGAATTACATATAGGCTATCGTTTAATTATTCCCATTCATAATATCGTCATTGTATAAGATTCCAACTATACTAATGAGATATTTTGTTTATTATAGTCAAAAAAAGGTAATTAAAAGGTAATATCCAATATGTTAAATATATACTCCCCCCCTTCCACTCTTTTAACACAAAACGGTTACATATATATTACAAAAAATTAAAGCCAATTTATTTACCATTATGAAATTGATAATTTTTTTCCGGACATGGTCTTGTAAACTTTAAATCTTTCAAAAGTAATCCATCATTATGTATTGCTGGAATAAATTTTAAAAAGAAATAGGATTGTTAATTTAACTAATAATGAATTCATATCAGAGGGGTCTTGTGGATATTATAGTAATTTCAATGGTTGAGATCATGAATCAATTGAAGCTAGATCACCATGGAAAACTTGGAAGCACTGGATGGCCGTTTCGACTTATTGCGGGATTCCTTAGTGGTGAGTATCCACGACCTCGCCTAACGGTATTCGAACCCAGGACCTATCAGTCTATCAGTTTTCCATAGTGGTTTAGCTTCAATTGACTCATGATCTCGACTGTTGAAATTCCTATAATATCCACAAAACCCCTCTGATATGAAACAACATATGTTCACTAGTGATTGCATTCAATAAGTATTTCCTGGAGTTCTAGTAAGAAGCAGTGACCAGTGGAGTTCAGTGGCAGATATATCACTCAATTCTGTGCATTCGTTGAATTTAGATATTAACATCGTTGGATGCCGGTCGGCTCAGTGTTGTAGTGGTTAAGCGCTCGCTTGCGTTACTGATAGATCCTGAGTTTCGATCTCAAGAGGTGGAATTGTGTATTCACACTGCTGCGGAGTCTCACGATAGGACGAAACCGCCGTCCAGTGACTCCAGGTTTTCCATGGTGGTCTAACTTCAATTGACTCATGATCACAACTATTAAAAGAAAATGATGTTTATCATTTGGATAAATTGCAATTCTATTAATATTAATTATATTGTTATCAGTATGGGGATTTGTGAAGATTGTACTATTTTTACTGTTTGAATCACGATTCGATCTAAGCTAGACTACCTGAGAAGTTTCATGCTAGGACCAAACGGCCATCTAATGGTTCTAAGTTTCCAATGAAGGTCTAGCTTAGATTAACTCGTCAATTCAATTGTGAAAATCATATTCTTCACTTATCAATTAATAATTAAATAAACCACTAAATGTAGAAATTAACCAACCACTCATAAGGAGTATTTAATTCATTTAGAATGACAGTTCATTACAAATTATTATTCTATATATATGAACGAACTAACTATTAAGGGATAGATGAATGACTCCATATTTTCCTTTTCTCTTGAATCTTTCTTTATCTTTTTATTTGTTTAAATGATTGTTTTGTAATAAATATGAGTATTTTTTATCAACGAAATGAAAGTTGTATCAGAATAGAAATTTGTGGATACTGTAGTCATCTATTTTTAGTTGACTTCATGAATCGATTAAATCTAGACAATCTTGGAAAACCTGAAATCACTTCACGACAGTTTCGATCTAATATGAGATTCCTCATTTACAATCCTGCATACGAGAGTCAAACACAGAACCTTCGGTCTCGTGCGCGAATGCTTAATCTTTAGGCTACTGAACCATCCACTATTGCCTTCAGTGAATAAACTATCTCTACAACATTCACAGTTGAAATCCATTTTCCACGGCTTCTCCCTAAAACTCCAGGAAATCCATCAAATCGGTTTTTTTTTCGTGGATATTTGGACAATTTTTATTTTAATGAAAGTATATTAAATTACATAAGGTGGATCTGATGCAGATGTGAAAGCAAGAGCAGCATATCTACAAATGAAGAACATATGGAACTTGAAACAACTGTCAACTAACACCAAGGTCAGGATTTTCAATACAAATGTCAAGACAGTTCTACTGTATGGGACGGAAACTCAAGGAACTATGTATCCAGAAGATACAAGTGTTTATTAACAGTTGTCTACGCAAAATATTTCAGATTCGTTGGCCGGACGCTATTAGCAACAACGTACTATGGGAGAGAACAAACCAGATCCCAGCAGAGGAAGAAATCAGGAAGAAGCGCTGTGAGTAGATAAGACACACATTGAGGAAAGCATCCAACTGCGTCACAAGACAAGCCCTCACATGGAATCCCCAATGCCAAAGGAGGAGAGGAAGACCAAAGAACACATTACGCCGAGAAATGGACATAGACATCAGAAAAATGAACAAGAATTGGATGGAACTAGAAAAGAAGGCCGAGGACAGAGTGGGTCGGCTGGTCGGCTGCCTATGATCTATTAGGAGTAACAGGGGTAAGTAAATAAGTAATATTACATTACATCATCACATCAACTTATATCTATATAGAAATCTACCAGAAATGAGAGTCATTCATTTTAAACGTTAAATGAAACGATTAAAGAGAATTTATACAAAACATTCTACTCATAGTAATGACAACAATAGTAATAAATAATAGACATAACTTACCTAATCCATTAATTTGATTGTTAACCATTAAAACAATTCCAATGATTAAAATATATTGGTTTATTATAATAATTGTAGATTTTTGATGAAACATTATTCTTTCTTTTTTCTTCTTTCTTTTTTCTTTCTTTCTTTTTGTTTATATCACTGTGTTTTATTATAATTAATTTTCTATTTTTTTTCTTTTTTATAATGAAAATATCAATATATTTCACCAACAAGAACAAAAAATAAACAACAAAAACAAAACAAAAAGAGAACCAAAAATAAAGAAACAAAAAAAAGAGAAAAGAACTTGATTTGTGCTTTACTTTTAAAATAATAAAATGAACTGATTTTTCTTGTTGTTGTTGTTGTTGAACGAATACGATTTAATGAATTGAATTAATTCAATTGTAAACTGATCTCTGTTTCTATGGTTTAAATACTCTGTCACAATTGTTATACATTCAATAATTTATAATAAGAATAAATGAAGAGATGAGTAACTATGACAGTTTACTTTTTTTTCTTTCTTTATTTTCTTTTTCTTTTGTGTGTGTGAGTGTGTGTGTGTGTGTGTGAAAACGTCTAGGAAATTTTTGTATAAAATTAATAGAAATGTAGATTAGATATGTATCAATGTGAAATATAATAGAATATAAATGGATATGTAGAATTATATAAACGTCTTTTAATAAGCGTGGGCTATCCTCTTTATTGAGAGCCAATCAAATTTCAGTAAGACAAAATAATCATTGGTAATCATATACATGATTTTTAAAATTATTTTTAATATATAAAAACTATTATGATTATTATTATTAAGCAAAGATGGATAGTGACTAGCAGTAGGATCCAGGATGCGTGTTTCGTCCTATTTGGGATTTGTCAGCTGGATTTACCTGTATCTTAGAGTTGATGTTCGAGTCTCAGAGTGAACATCATAACTGAGATGAAACTAGGAATCGTTGCATTGAGTGTATAAAATTTGTAGCCATAAAATGATATATATATATATATATATATATATATATATATATATATATATATATATATATATATATATATACAGCTAAGAAGTCCCAAATAGAATGAAACGTGCGTTTTGGATTCCACTACTAACCACTATCCATCTTTGCTTATATCGCTTGTGAATTAAGGTAATATTGAGGCAATACACTCAGTATGCACATAAGCCAATAAGGGACTGATCAACTGCAGTGCTTAACATCAATGGATAGATTCAAGTAAACAATAATAATTATTATTACACTAATATGATATCGTAAACATTGAATAATTACGTAATTATAAATGTTTTTATGTTGAGCTTACAAATTACTAATGTCATACATTTGCATATGAATTATTTGAATCTTCTTATTGATATTTAAAACTGTCATTAATAAGTTTGTTATTGTTATTTATGGATCTTGTGCGAATTGCTCTGGTATCTTCTTAAGTTACAAGTATTATAGGTAGAGATGGATGGTGGCTAATAATGAAAAACAGAATGTGTGTTTCATCCTATTTGAGACTAATTAAGTAAATAACGTAATGACGTTTGAAATGAATAGTACTGGGTTCGAGTTCCAGAGTGAACATCAATTCTGATATAGGAATATCCAATTGACAAGTCGTAAATAGAACGATTCCATTACTAGCTATCATCCATCTTTGCTTACAATACTAATGTACGTGTTTTCAAATTGGAAGTGATGTAGTTTCAAACGCTTAATTAATCATTTGATTATTAATAAACTCCTTGGATTAATATTTTCATTATAAATATCTATTTAAATTTGTTACATGTCTACCTTCATTAAACTTTCTGTACTAAACAACTATCTTCCATAGTTTCAACATATTAAGGTTAAAAGGCTGTCCATCAATTCTTAGTTTCTGGTAGTTGTCTAAAAGTCTTCACAAATTTCACTTGCTGATAATAATTCTATGCTTATTACTGATCAATTTCTAGAACACATCTGCGTAGTTCCAGTAGATAACAATGACCAATAGAATTGAACTGTATTGTCCACCGAAGACAATAAACTGAATTCAAACACATAGACCATTGATATAGAAGTCAATTGTAGCATGTCATTGTAACTATTTCAAAAAATATTCATAAAAGCATTTATAAGATGTTCGTTTAGCAAACTAAAATGTATTTCTATATATCTTGTAACTTACAAGATGCACTGTTTGAGGTTTTCCGTTACTGATGTCAATGTTTTCAACTGATCAATATTTTTTTGGCTTTTGTGCAGGTTAAGTGGAACATCTCGATAGTTTCATTAAGTCATAAGCATTTCTCTATTTATCACTGTCAAAATCAGTTTAAAATCCATATGTTTTAATGATATTATAGAAATAAACCAATTAAGATACACATATACAGAAAGAGATTAATCAGTTGAATATCTTAACATGAACAACAAGAGGATTCAAACAACTTTACAGATGGATTAAAATTCGTCCCCATTGCACAAAGCAGTGGTGATCTGGGAATGAGGTTGTAGTGTGCAACCCGTTTGTCATCTGAAGCTAAAGGTAATAAATACCTATGTGAACAACAATAAATTTATCAGTATGGGGGTTGTGGAGATTGATAAGTTTTTTTTGGTTGAGCTCATGAATCAATTGATGTTAGACCACAGTTGGAAACCTGGAAGCACTGGACGGCCGTTTCATCCTAGTATGGGACTCCTCAGCAGTGCGCATCCACCATCCCGCGAGCGGGATTCGAACCCAGGACCTACTGGCTTCGCGCCTGAGCACTTAACCATTAGACAATGGAAGTTGGTCGCGCAATTTCGTGGATGGGTTGATGTTAGACACTAACACTATTGGATGCCGGCTCAGTGGTCTAATGGTTAAGTGCTCAGGCGCGAAGCCAGTAGGTCCTGGGTTCGAATCCCGCTCGCGGGATCGTGGATGCGCACTGCTGAGGAGTCCCATACTAGGACGAAACGGCCGTCCAGTGCTTCCAGGTTTCCAACTGTGGTCTAACATCAATTGACTCATGATCTCAACCAAAAAAAACAATAAATTTAGTTAGATCCAGCTGACGAGTTTTAAATAGAAATGTACCTCCTGGATTCCACAGCCAGCCACAATCAAACTATGCTTAAAGAACCTATATGTTTATCAGCATTTTTAAAACTATGAAGGATTAGAGACTTTTTCTTAAAAAAATTATATACAATCGATCAGCCGTAATGGTTTTAACACGTAGCCTCACTGATTGCTCAATGATTACACCATCTGACTTTCAACTATGAGGCTTTTAATTCAGCTCAAACTTTTATAATCGAATTGAACAGATAAGTAGCATTAAAAGCAACTGAGAATAGGTAGACAAATCTGTACTTAGTTGGTGAGTTGCCAAAGATTTATACCTACGCGCACATAATGAATAATAATAAATTTTTTAAAGTTTGGATTTTGATAAAAATTAATCAATTCATCATTCTCATTTCGTTGACGATAATTTTGAGATGAACGTTATCTTAATAGTTGAATTCATAAGTCAATTGAAGTTAGACAACCATGGAAAACCTGAATGGCCGTTTTTCTGCTACGGGACTTTTCAGCAGTCCGTATCCACGATCCCGCCTCATGAGATTCGAACCCAGGACCTATCGTTCTCTCGCGCGAGCGCTTGACCTCTAGATCACTGAGCCGGCATTCAACAGTGTTGATGTTTAACTTTAACCAGTTCACGAAATCACGCCACTGTCCATCATTGTCATCAGTGAGTTACTATCACACAACAGACTCTGTTGAACTCCGCTAGTCACGGTTTCCCACTAGAACTCCAAGAAATACGAAACAGCCGTCAATTGCTTCCAGGATTTCCAGGATTGTCTAACTTCAATTGACTCATAAATTCGATTATTAATATTACTATAATATCCTTTACTCATTCATGCTTGCTTACCGTACCTTTGCATGGTGCAATAATAGACATAATCAACACTACGTATTCGCCTACTGATTAATACACTGTTAAAGATTATATTGAATACCGACCACCACAAGATGTGTATATTATATTATAAAAGTTTCATAATTAATCATCTACTTCTTCAGTAATTCGATTTGTTTCTTTAACGGCTTAAATACTGACTTAACAACAATCCATCTAATGTGATCGATATCGCATTTTCTCAAATTACAAGACTTAATTAGTAGCTTGAAGAAAAACTACTTGCTTTTGTATATGAGTAATAAATTTTATTAAAATGTACATACTTTGCTAGGAATTTGATTTTTAGCTTAATGTTAGTTCATTTAAAGTAATTATCATTCCATTACATTACCGAGTTATTCGGATAATTTCATACTTTACATACAGGAATGATCTTGTCTGGATAACTATCGGTCAACAGGAAGCATCAAACACCTCATTCGTCACACTATCACACTCATCAACAGTCGCTATCTAACCACATCCCACCAGTCATTTAACATTTATACAAAATTGACAATGCTCACCAAACCAATACACTAATGATAATAATGGTAATATGATTGCACTCACTAGTGATTAAGTTGTGGATGTGATTGGAGGTGTTCGACATGTAGACGATTGTATATGAAGTGTGTAGTGTGAAGTTGAAATGGTGGAGTGTGAGTGAGTGTATGATATTATGAGTGTGAACTGGTGAATAAACTTGTGATATGATGAAAAAGTTAGTTTGTGATTTTTGGTTTTCAACGATTGTTTAATTGAGATCAATCGGTGGTGCGAAAAGTGAGAACTGAACAATCTTCACGTTAATCTTCGTATGCTGATATTGGTGTGATAGATCATATATTCATACTTCCACTATACTACCTTTTAAAATCTTAAAAGATTTCTTTGATGAAACTAGGAATCACTACATTGATTGTAAAATTTTTGTAGCCATAAAATGATATGTATATGCAGGTACATCCAGCTGACAAATTTCAAATGGGATGATACGCAATCTTGGATTCCACTTCTAGCCACTATTCATCTTTGCTTAAAAAGCTTGTGACTTAAGACAGTGAGCACAAGATCCACATATGTTAACAAGAGACTGATCAATTACAGTCCTAAATAACAATAGGAAGATAAAAGTA